CCTGCTGGTCACTACAGAGAAGTAGAGTCATTTCCTCATAGACGTCTATGGGAGCAGAGGAGTCGGCCCCTGGTGGTCACTACAGAGAAGTAGAGTCATTTCCTCATAGACGTCTATGGGAGCAGAGGAGTCGCCCCCTGCTGGTCACTACAGAGAAGTAGAGTCATTTCCTCATAGACGTCTATGGGAGCAGAGGAGTCGCCCCCTGCTGGTCACTACAGAGAAGTAGAGTCATTTCCTCATAGACGTCTATGGGAGCAGAGGAGTCGCCCCCTGCTGGTCACTACAGAGAAGTAGAGTCATTTCCTCATAGACGTCTATGGGAGCAGAGGAGTCGCCCCCTGCTGGTCACTACAGAGAAGTAGAGTCATTTCCTCATAGACGTCTATGGGAGCAGAGGAGTCGCCCCCTGCTGGTCACTACAGAGAAGTAGAGTCATTTCCTCATAGACGTCTATGGGAGCAGAGGAGTCGCCCCCTGCTGGTCACTACAGAGAAGTAGAGTCATTTCCTCATAGACGTCTATGGGAGCAGAGGAGTCGCCCCCTGCTGGTCACTACAGAGAAGTAGAGTCATTTCCTCATAGACGTCTATGGGAGCAGAGGAGTCGCCCCCTGCTGAATAAAAGTACATTTCTTTCAATACCCTGGAAATTTTTCTTCCTAAACTGTGACCTTGAACACACCACTCTTCATCTTCATCTTCGTCCACTGTATCTTTATTGGATAACATTGGTCCATCTGACAAACACGCAAAAATACCTAAAAAATTAAACATGATGGAGTTTTGGTGAAAAGAATCATGGAAAATGTAGCTATAATAATAATAAAAAGATAAAAAACATCCTGTAGTTTCGCTAAAAGAAGTCAAGGTCTTCTGGAGCATCCAGGTCTCTGTACTCGATGATGGACCGGGGGTCTCCTCGCAAGCCCCTACACACACACACACACACACACACACACACACACACAGTTACACACAATCAATTCATCATCAATATGTGTGTAGCATCGTCAGTCTGGTTTTATAACCTGTTGTTTCGTTGTTTCCCTGGAAACCCTCCTCCTCCTCCTAAGTGACCTCTGAAGTTGTCATGGTTACCACGGCCGGCCCCAAACTGGTTGGGGGGGAATGGCGGTCCTCCACCTGTAAAACCCCAAACAGAACACACTCGTTACACACACTGTGTCATTACTGCACAACATAAGTGTGTGTGTCTGTGTGTAGTACCAGGGAAACCGGGCATTGGAGGTCTGACTCCAGGAGGATATCCCAGAAGGCTTTGCTGCTGTGGCGACTGGCCAGGGAACCCAGGCAAACCAGGGGGCGTGGCTAAAAGAGGTGGTGATGTCACCATATGTAGATCCTTATTAATAAACTCATTTTAAAATAAAAACAATGCCATTAAATAAATAGAGAATGTCAACTGTCAATCATCACCAGGATGCCGTAGAGCAGCAAGTCACGGCTGCTGTTTTCTGACCCACTATTGGATCATAAACCCACCTTGTACTGGAGGGGGGAGGGGCTTCTTCTCAGGTAGGGCTGGTCTCTTGGCGTCCAACAGGAAGTTGTTGAAGAACACAACTTCCTGTCTAACGGCAGAGACTTTGTCCCCATGTTTGTTCAGGATGTGTTTGCGCACAAACTCTGGAGCCTGAAAAACATTGAGTGATGTGTTACCATGGTAACCACACAGACACACACACACACACACACACACACACACACACACTTACACAGTAACACAAACCTTAAACTTCTTCCCGCTCAGAGGACAAAGCCACTTGTCTTTACTGAGCTCCTGAGTGTTTGACGAGAGGAACTTTTCCACCTGCAGAGAAAAAGACAGACAGGTAAACACAGACAGACAGGGACACAGACAGACAGACAGACATGGGACACAGACAGACAGGTGTGGTACCTCGTGCTCCGGGTCCTTCTTTCCCAGTTTGCCAGCGTCGTCGTCACTCAGAGACTCTGAGGCAGAAAGAAGAGGAGCCAGACGCTCCTCACACATCCTCTGATGCTCACTCACTGCCAATCAGAGCACAGACACAGTGACATCATCACTCACTGCCAATCAGAGCAGACACACAGTGACATCATCACTCACTGCCAATCAGAGCACAGACACACAGTGACATCATCACTCACTGCCAATCAGAGCACAGACACACAGTGACATCATCACTCACTGCCAATCAGAGCACAGACACACAGTGACATCATCACTCACTGCCAATCAGAGCACAGACACACAGTGACATCATCACTCACTGCCAATCAGAGCACAGACACACAGTGACATCATCACTCACTGCCAATCAGAGCACAGACACACAGTGACATCACCATCGCCCAACCAGAGCACAGACACATGAATAGAAACACAATTATCTTTGAAACCCAGAAGAGAAGATTGATGAATGAGGGGACAAAGTGTGTTGTGTGTGCGAGTTGTGTGTGCGAGCTGTGTGTGCGAGCTGTGTGTGCGAGCTGTGTGTGCGAGCTGTGTGTGTGAGTTGTGTGTGCGAGTTGTGTGTGCGTGTACCCTCAGCTGCAGTAATGCGGGCGGCAGGTAGCGGTCCTCGTACGTGAATCAGTCCACAGCGATGAGGCATCTCGTCCTCAGCAGGATACTCACAGAAGTTATAATAATCTACTGAGTGAACCAGCCGCAGGTAGAGCAGCAGTCTGTCCAGCACCTGCGCACACACACACACCCACACACACACATTAATGTTCATATTTATAGATATATATATTAAAAACGTCAGAGTTTGTGAGTTTTCACCCACCTTCAGCAGCTTGTTGTCTGTCTCCACTGTAACCTCAGAGGAGGGGGCGGGGTCTTTGGCGTCGTCGCACCCGCCCCCTAAAGCCCCCATCAGCTCCTCCTCCTCGGCGCTCACCTCCTCGATGAGGTAGTCTGTGATGTTCTTCAGGACGGGGTTGGTCTCCACATGCAACACACAAGTCACATTATAGAAAAAAAAACACCTGGGGAGGGGGCGGAGCTTATCCCTCCAGGTAGACAATACAAACATTGATCCTGAAGGAACAAAACGATGATGCGGGTAATCTATAAGATCTCTTCATCAGGCCGATCCTCAACACCTTAAAATGCCCGTTTTCTGAACTGAGTTTGGTTTGATCAGTGCTAAGCTAAGCTAACGCTGTAGCAGCTCCATCAATGCTCACATCTCTCTTCAGACTCTACCTCCACTAACACACTAACTACCTGTAGCACTGACATTGGACTTATAATGGTTCTTATCTACAGCAAGTTGTAAACTGGCTTATTTGATGAAATCACACTTTGTTTCTTGTTCTGTTTGTGTCCTTATGGTTGAAATGTTCTTATTGTAAGTCGCTTTGGATGAAAGCGTCATGTGATGTGATGTAACATGACGTTAGCTTGGTGTTTGTCTCACTGTGTGACAACTATTGAAACCCAGTGAACAGGTGAGACAGTTACCTGTCCGTCCCACAGCGCCCCCCTCTGGTCCAGGCTGTGGACGAGTCGAGCAGATAAACGGATGTCGTTCTTCACCACCGGCCTGTGGTGCGTGAGGCCGTTGACGGAGCGGACCCGCCGACACAAGTCTCTGTTCACCACCGGGGACAGCTCACAGTCCCTCAGCTGAGGGGACACAGTACTCTGTGAGGTACTACTTCAGAGACACAGCGTACTACAGTGTTTAAGTGTGTTTACCCTGATGTTCTGAAGGTTCCAGCACGTCTCCTTTATGTTCACACTGCGGTCAAAGGTCACCCAGCATCTCCTGACGAACCTGACACACACACGTTAGCATGACTCTCACCGGCTAGCAGCAACTTAGCATCTCAAAAGGACAGTCAACTCAAAAGGAGTCACGTCTCACCTCCTCTCGGCCTGTGGGTCCGACAGCGCCACCCGCAGGAACCCCGGGTACCTGCGACATAACTACAGACACCACACCTGTTGGTACAAGTGGTTTCTACAGCGTGTGTGTGTGTGTGTGTGTGTGTGTGTGTGTGTGTGTGTGTGTGTGTGTGTGAGACTCACGGCTGTGATCTCCTCCTTGGACACCTCCGGCGGGATGCTCCGGGATGAACAAAGACGTGGTGAGGTGCAGGGGGCGGGGGCTTAGCTGGGAGCCTCCTCTCTCCCCTTCACCCTTTCCTTCCCTCGCTCTTTACGACGCTCTGAGACACAAATGTTCACCAAGTTCAATGTCTGTAAATTTAAACGCCGTTTTTCATCCACTGTCGAAATGTCCTTACCTTCCTCGTCGTTGTCTTCCTCCTTTTCCTCCCCATCAGAGTAGAGAGGAGTCAGAGTCAGAGGCGCTGCCCTCGCCACTGTCAGCGGACACGCTGCGTTTCCTCTTCCTGCTCTGAGAAGAAAGGGGGCGGGATTAACGTCATCAGCATCATCAGCATCACTGCCCACGAAAAAACCAACTCACTTTCTTCTTTAGCGGCGTCTTTTTCTTATCTTCCTCCTCCTCGTCATCTTTTTTCTCTCCCTCTTCTTCCTCCTCCTCCTCCTCCTCCTCTCCTTCGTCCTTCTCACCGTTCAGTTTGGTCTCTTCTTCACTGTTCTGAAAGGGAAGCAGAATAAAGGTTTTCCTTTTCATTAATCTGACATCAGACAGAAGAGCTCGTCATCTCAGACAGTAGAAGAAGAGCTCGTCATCTCAGACAGTAGAAGAAGAGCTCGTCATCTCAGACAGTAGAAGAAGAGCTCGTCATCTCAGACAGTAGAAGAAGAGCTCGTCATCTCAGACAGTAGAAGAAGAGCTCGTCATCTCAGACAGTAGAAGAAGAGCACGTCATCTCAGACAGTAGAAGAAGAGCTCGTCATCTCAGACAGTAGAAGAAGAGCTCGTCATCTCAGAGAGTAGAAGAAGCGCTCACCTTATTTGGGACTTTTGTCTCTTCTGTGCGACTCGTCGACTCAGAGTCAGTCGGGCGGCTCACGTTTCCTCCGCTGAGATCTCCCTGACTCTTCTCACCTCCTCCTCTTGGTGCTCCTGCTCCTGGTGGGGGTGGTCCTCCTCCTCCTCCACTGCTGCTGCTCGCCTCCCCAGCAGCTGCAGCAGTCGGCAGCTCCAGGACCTGCAGGTCCAAGTCTGTGCCGCCCTCCATCTTGATCACCGCTGCAGAGGACAGAGTTTGAGACACAAGGGGTGAGGAGGAGAACTACATTACCCAGAACACCCTGCAGAGCGACAGCAGAAAACAGTCCATGTCCCAAACCCCAAATCCTGTCTCACAGCCCAGTGAGCTATCCGTGACCCGTCTACCTGCGTCCAGCAGCTTGATGATGGCGGGCGCGTGTTCCATGTCCAGCGACATGTTCTCCAGCCAGTTGTTGTCCATCAGGAAGAGGAAGACGCCCAGCCGGGTCTTGAGTGCAGCCAGAGACTCCGCCCTCTGCGCCGTGATGTCATCGGGGTGGTACTTGGAGCGGAACCACTCCTGGTCTTTGTGCTGGAGGAAGAAGTCCTGCAGCTGCTGCCGTCTGAAGTCTAGCTTGTACTGATTGTAGCGCTTCACCGACTCCGTCTCGTCCACGCTGTCCTCCGTGTTCAATAGAAACTCCTGCAGAGACAGCAAAGGACGCTCAGAACCACGTCAGTGCCAGCACGCCGTTTCTGACAGGAGGTGGGCTCACCTTGAAGCTCCTCATGGTGGGAGGACCGGGAGGAGGGAGATCCGGATCCACCATCCCCAACCTGAGACACATTTGACCTCCATGTTATGTGGTGCTGTGTGGGCACCCCCTCGATGACAAGGTGCATTGTGGGACCATGAGCTCACCTGCCCTGCAGCGGGTGACCGCCGTGGTGGGGATGAAGGGGGGGGAGGTCGGGATGCCATCCCTGAGGCCCCGCCCCCGGAAACGGAGCCACGCCCCCTCCGTAGGGCATGTCGTAGCGGTACGGCTCCCCGCGGTGGTCGTCCCTGCAGTTTACATGTCATTGATAGATCATGTGACGAGTATTGATCACGTGACAAGTAGTGATCATGTGACAGAGTGACTAAACACTCACCAGTCTCTCCTCATGCGTTTGTGTTGAGGGCTGATGTGTCGGGGGGGAGAAAACCGTTCTCTGCGGCTGCGATCGTAGTCCCGCCTCCTCTCTCTGCCGCGGTCCCAGTCCCTGAACACACACACACAGTTTAAACACACACACACACACAGGTGTGTCAGCATGAGGTGTGTGTGTGCGCGCTTACCGGTCAGGCCAGTCGTCTCTCCTCCTTTCCTCTCTCTCTCTCGACCGCTCCATGTCACTCCTCTCTCTCCTGAACTTGTCCCGCCTCCTCCTGTCGAACTCGTCATCGCTGTCTCCCATTGGTCTAAAGAAACAGATGGACGACTTAACGATGCAAACAACCGGAAAGATTGTACTTTTTCCTGCAGACTATTTATCTGACAGCTTTAATCTTTCCAGTAGAGTAAAAAGTAACTCTGAGATCTGGTTCAGTGAAAACTACAATATTTACCGTTTAAATGTAGTACATCCATATATACATGTATCTCAAAGGTAGTGAACAAGATTGAAATACTAAAGTAAATGGTGAAGTGATGATTAAATGTGGCGGCTAATATGCGGAGCACTAATCAATATTATATAACTATATTTTCGCAGTATTATGTAGAAAAGTAGCAACACGTAAGAACTTTCTTCAGTCAGAAATATTAGCATAAGCGTATTTAGCCTGCTAGCTAGAAACAAACACAGCAAGCTAACGCTAACGGTAGGTAACAGTAGCGGCTAGTTAGCACCAGAGCTAGCCCAGCCTGCTAACGGGTTAAACTGTGCTTCGGCTCGCGTTCTCTTTGTCCTTCATGCCATATAAACACTATTGTAAGATGTGTATATGTATAATTAATATTTGCCTGAGTGTGTTCGGCTTCAGCTCCGCTGACTACAACCGGAGAACGGCGCTCGTCAGTTAATTTAGCGGCTCCCACCGCGAGCCAGAGATTATTCTGGAGCTACGGCACTTCCGGTGTAGTTCATTTCCGGTCTGGATTTTCAAGGTAAAGTTAAAAACGTCGCCACCATGCGGCCAGGATGAAGCAACATGTAGATACTACTAATACCACGCAATAAAGTTTAAGTACATCTAGTTCTGAACTTACTGTGAGGTACTGCAATGTACGTTGATACCTATAAAAATAAATGCAGAAAGCATCCTCTTCCAGTCAGAACCTTTATATATCGATCAAGCATTAATTACTGATCCGATATCAGCAGTTAATCAATAAGATGATTTCCTGTTCTTCTTCGAGTGAAGCTTCAACATAAAAAAATACTCCTATAACTGTAAAATTCCAAATTAAATCGAAAATACAATGCTATTATTATTATTTATTGATTTCATTTGTGTTCAATTGAATCATATTTAATTGTATCTTATACATTTACTGTTAAATGGTTCTTATCAGCAGAGAGAAGGAATCGATCAGGTGGGTTTCTATAGAAGAGGAAAATTATCAGTGTTGTTACATTAAGTGTTCAAAACAAATACAGCACAGATAACTAATTATATATTATATATACCTATATTTAGATTGTTTGTGTGCTAAAACAAAGTTAGAAAGAGCTTTAAAATAAAAGCATGATTATTATTCAGTTAGATGTCCCGTTACTCTCAGGAGGAAGTCTTCTGATTGGCTGGTGGTGTGGAGGGGGCGTGGCCAGAGACCCAGAGGAGGAGAGCAAAAAAAGTGAAGATGTTTCAGTTTGTTTTTTAATTAGATTTAATCAGATTTAGAACAAGATGTGACATAAAGACATCCACGGTTTACCTGTCCTGCTCCTCCTGGTCCCCCCCCTGCTCCGCCTGCTCCTCCCCCTCCTCTCCCTCCCCCTCCTGCTCCTCCTCCTCCTCCCCACCCTGCTCCGCCTGCTCCTCCCCCTCCTCTCCCTCCCCCTCCTGCTCCTCCTGCTCCTCCCCCTCCTCTCCCTCCCCCTCCTGCTCCTCCTCCCCACCCTGCTCCGCCTGCTCCTCCCCCTCCTCTCCCTCCCCTCCTGCTCCTCCTCCTCCTCCCACCCTGCTCCGCCTGCTCCTCCCCCTCCTCTCCCTCCCCCTCCTGCTCCTCCTGCTCCCCCCCCTGCTCCGCCTGCTCCTCCCCCTCCTCTCCCTCCCCCTCCTGCTCCTCCTCCTCCTCCCCACCCTGCTCCGCCTGCTCCTCCCCCTCCTCTCCCTCCCCCTCCTGCTCCTCCTGCTCCTCCCCCTCCTCTCCCTCCCCCTCCTGCTCCTCCTCCCCACCCTGCTCCGCCTGCTCCGCCTGCTCCTCCCCCTCCTCTCCCTCCCCCTCCTGCTCCTCCTCCCCACCCTGCTCCGCCTGCTCCTCCCCCTCCTCTCCCTCCCCCCCCTGCTCCGCCTGCTCCTCCCCCTCCTCTCCCTCCCCCTCCTGCTCCTGCTCCTCCTCCCCACCCTGCTCCGCCTGCTCCTCCCCCTTCTCTCCCTCCCCCTCCTGCTCCTCCTGCTCCTCCCCCTCCTGCTCCTCCTGCCTCCTCCCCCTCCTCTCCCTCCCCCTCCTGCTCCTCCTGCTCCTCCCCCTCCTGCTCCTCCTGCTCCTCCACTCTTCCCCCCCCTGCTCCTCCTCGTCCACAGAAGACAGTGGTCAGTCCGCTGTGAGCAGGAACATGCCTGAAGCTCCGTGTCCTGGTCTTCTTCAGCTCTGCCAGCAGCTCGGGGCTCGACAGAGAAAGACGCGCTGCACATAAACAGAATCTGTCAGTGATAATCAAAAGTTATTTTCATGGGCTTAGTTGGGGGTTTTGCTGTCTTGTCTTGATTTAAGAGTTAGGTAAAGGGGTAAGCAGGATCTGCCAAGCAGGCAGACACGAGTCTGACAGGATGGGGAGTCAGTTTATGTCCTGGCTGAGGAATGTAAGGTCTGCGGGTCAACTAGAAGATTTACCAGCCAAAGGGGGGTTAGAGACACACCAACACTATTCAACATACACACTGTGTTTACGATGTTTACGTTAAGTCAGGAGTCTGGACATTGGATGTGACCGGATCTTAGATGCGGGAGGTGGAAGGTCCTCCTCTACGCCAGTTTAGGGCCAATAGAAATATTTCCTTCTCTGTCTTTTAAGGGTTATAAAACATGATGTTCTTGCTGATGTTAGTTAGTTGTTCTTCCGGCCTGTGTGCTGCCTGAACTGCTCCTGCCTTTGCAAACGCAGCGCTGATACTTGACCTGTGATCTGACAAATAAATTTTCCAGAACGAGAGAAGTTATTCGGCTGAATTTTTGATAACCCCGACCAGGCTCCAAATCTTGAACACGTATTCTTACAGTCAGTCTGCAGCCTGGACGGAGACGCGTCATCCAGACTGGGACCCGCCGTCTTCCCCACCAGAGGACGCTTCTACCGTCAGGCTCACCTCGTCCGCTGACAGGAGAAGAGGAGGAGGAGCCACAGGAGGAAGGACTGAGGGATGAGGCCAGAGGAGAGGAGGAAGGGGAGGAAACACCCGATTCACCGAGGGACAGTCTGCTCTGACTCTCTGGAGACACAAAGACAAACATGAGACGGATGAGGGGAAGAGAAAGTGTCTTCTGTGATGTAATTATTAATCTCCATGATGTCATCATGATTCTCTATGACGTCATGTGCAGACTTCTCACCTTTTAGAAACTCTGCTTGAAGCTCCGGACTCCTCAGAGACCGGTGAGGAGGAGGAGGAGGAGGAGGAGGAGGAGGAGACGAAGAGGAGAGGAGCCCAGGGTCCGCTGTCACTGAGGTAGACTTCATGATGTTTGCAGTGGGAGGAGCTAAGAATAGATTTCAACCGTTAGCAGCTACAGACACTAAGAGCATTATAATTAATACGGAGTATAAAGTACCTGAGCAGGTACTACAAAGAGTACCTGAGCAGGTAGTACACATAGTACCTGAGCAGTTAGAGAGAAAAGTACCTGAGCAGGTAGTACACACAGTACCTGAGCAGTTAGAGAGAAAAGTACCTGAGCAGGTACTACAAAGAGTACCTGAGCAGGTAGTACACATAGTACCTGAGCAGTTAGAGAGAAAAGTACCTGAGCAGGTACTACAAAGAGTACCTGAGCAGGTAGTACACATAGTACCTGAGCAGGTACTACAAAGAGTACCTGAGCAGGTAGTACACACAGTACCTGAGCAGTTAAGAGAGAAAAGTACCTGAGCAGGTAGTACACACAGTACCTGAGCAGTTAAGAGAGAAAAGTACCTGAGCAGGTAGTACACACAGTACCTGAGCGGTTAGAGAGAAAAGTACCTGAGCAGGTAGTACACACATCAATCAATACATCTATCAATAATATGGCTACTCACAGACGAAGAAGCTCCTCACCAGATGACTTCCTACAACGGTACAAAGTCTGTGCAGGTCTACGTCTCCCACACACACACACACACACACACACACACACACACACACACACACACACAGTGTTCAATTTGTTTCAGTGTGTGTGTGTTTAAAGACAAACTTAATGTAAAAAACACACGACTCAAAAGTCCACATTAATTATTGACGTTTTTAATGACAGTGTTGCCATGGTTACCAGGAAGGAGAGAAATGGACTTTTACCCCTCACATTCACTTCCTGTGATCAATGTTAATTCTACATCTGATCACATGTCAGCGTGTATAAAGTAATAATACACGAATACTTACTTTCTCTCACTGTACTCATGTGAGGAAATATGTGTCAAATGAAACATGTTTGTGTTCAGTAATGTATTTAATATTAATGAGTGTGATACAGGTAGTATTTAGTATTGATTAGTGTGATACAAGGTCATTTTATTCAGTTATATTTTTAGACTTCAAATTTGTTCAAATGTTTAAGTTCAACAAAACAATTTATTAAAATAACTTATTGCGTTTGTGGAAAAGAAAAACACAGTCTGGTTTTATTTTATTTAATAAAACATGAAAATAAGAAACATTTGTTATTTACAGAAGAATATTTGACGTGTGTGTTTATGAAGTGGTTAGCTTCTATGCTAACATCCCTGTGACTATGTATTTATTGTATAGTTAATTATTACAGAGTAGCACATACCACAAGCTAACACGTTGCACGCAGCCTACATGCTAAGCTAAGCTAAGTGACGTCCCATCAGTTGCCACGGTGACCAGGCGGCAGTTAGAGCGTCCACTTCAAACACCTGAGGACACACAGACGAGAGTTAAGTACTAACACCTCTTAACTTTACTGAAATAAGTCACACTAAAACATCAAGAAGAAACACTACGTGTTTATGTAAATATACAATGTGTTTGTGTAAATACAGGACGTGTTTATGTAACATATCCAAATTACCACATGTTTATGTAAACACACCACATGCTAATGTAAACACACCACATGCTAATGTAAACACACCACATGCTAATGTAAATATACCACATGCTAATGTAAATACACCACATGTTAATGTAAATATACCACATGCTAATGTAAACACACCACATGCTAATGTAAACACACCACATGCCAATGTAAACACACCACATGCTAATGTAAACACACCACATGCCAATGTAAACACACCACATGCCAATGTAAACACACCACATGCCAATGTAAACACACCACATGTTAATGTAAACACACCACATGTTAATGTAAATATCCAACATGTTAATGTAAACACACCACATGCTAATGTAAACACACCACATGCTAATGTAAACACACCACATGTTAATGTAAACACACCACATGCCAATGTAAACACACCACATGCCAATGTAAACACACCACATGTTAATGTAAACACACCACATGTTAATGTAAACACACCACATGTTAATGTAAACACACCACATGTTTATGTAAATACACCACATGTTAATGTAAACACACCACATGCTAATGTAAACACACCACATGTTAATGTAAACACACCACATGCCAATGTAAACACACCACATGTTAATGTAAACACACCACATGTTAATGTAAATATCCAACATGTTTATGTAAATACACCACATGTTAATGTAAACACACCACATGCTAATGTAAACACACCACATGCTAATGTAAACACACCACATGTTTATGTAAACACACCATATGTTAATGTAAACACACCACATGCTAATGTAAACACACCACATGTTAATGTAAACACACCACATGCTAATGTAAATATACCACATGCTAATGTAAACACACCACATGTTAATGTAAACACACCACATGCTAATGTAAATACACCACATGCTAATGTAAATATACCACATGCTAATGTAAACACACCACATGTTGATATAAACACACCACATGCTAATGTAAATATACCACATGCTAATGTAAATACACCACATGTTAATGTAAATACACCACATGTTAATGTAAATATCCAACGTGTTTGTGTAAATATCCAACGTGTTTGTGTAAACATAACGTGTGTATGTAAATATACTATCTGCTGATGTAAATACACCCCATGTTTGTGTAGGTGTGTGTACCTGGTCTCTCTGTGGGTACACAGACACTTGCTGCTGCAGTAGCGCCCCCCACAGGTGGTGCAGGTGTAGTGGGAGGGGAAGCCACAAACGCAGCAAAAGTGTCGGGGGGGCAGCGTGGAGGGAGGCGCCGCCGCAGACAGGTAATTAGGCTCCGGCCTCTCCGACAGGTTCTACCAATCAGAGAGCAGAGGTCAGCGGAGGTCTTTAACGGGGGTCAGCGGAGGTACTGCAGGGGGGTCGCAACATTTTTGGTTGACAAGACACTTTTTTTTCTCTCCAACCAATTTTTCCCCCCACATTTTTAAATGTCCTGAGAATCAGAATCAGATCCGTTCATGCTCACGTCTAAAGAGGGCGGAGCTCAAAAGAAAAAGATGGCGGACGGTGGTAGAATAGGGCGTCCCTGCTGCATCTCGCCATCGGTTTGAGGGACATTGGCCTGAAAACATTGAAGACCCCTGGACTAGAGGATAGACCCACCTCCTCCTCCAGCAGCGTGGTGAAGTTCTTCCTGAAGCGCTGCTTGAAGTGATCGCCCCTCGTCTTCCTCTTCTTCTTCTCTGGACGCACACCGACACCGGAGAAGGAGAGGACGAAGAGGACGAAGAGGACGAAGAGGAAGGGATACAGAATAAGACGCAATGTCCTTGGATGTGTTCCATCTGGTTAGGTCTCGTGCCTCACCTGGTTCTTCTGTCTCGCTGAAGGCAGGCAGGCGGGCAGTAGGACCAGGGGGAGGTAAGGAGGACAGCGGGTCGTCCTGGAGACACAAAAGACAACAAAACGACTCTGAGAAACATCCTTTAAAGCTTCTGAAAACACAGACTTCTATCTCGACGCCACACAGTGTGATTGGCTGTCGATGACGTCGCACTGAGGACGCACCTTAAGGACGAGCGTTCCACAGGCAGAGCAATGAAAGACAAACCTGGAAGTTGTCTTTCTCCAGAGCGTCAAGCTGCCGGCTTAATCTCCTCTGTCTGGTGGCTTCATCCAGAACTCTGCGCTGACCCGCCTCCACCCGGGCTGAGACAGACAGGGGAGGGACAGAGACAGACAGGGGAACAGAGACAGACAGGGGAGAGACAGAGACAGACAGGGGAGGGACAGAGGAACAGAGACAGAGGAACAGAGACAGACAGGGGAGGGACAGACATACAAGGAGAGAGAGACACGTGAGTTTTAGCGTGTTAAACCAAAACTCACCAAAATATGTCTCCAGACTCCGTCGCGGACTGACGCGTCACAGCCGGACACCGGAAGCAGTTGGAGACTCGTGATGAGCTGAAGTTGAGTTCGGCGGACTGTTTGTCCCCGAGACATCCGGTGGTGACGGTTTTTCCAACGGAAACCGTTCATAAGCAGAGTTCTTCTCGTCTCCGGGAAACGTACCGGAACGAAACCGCGAGACGGACGGAGGCTAAAAGCTGCGACACCGGAGCGACGTTCAGAGCGCGCGCGCACATGACCGCAACACGTGAACGCGCATCCGTACATCACCGTGCGCGTCAGCGCTCACGTTCGGTCCAAACGAAGCCAAACTCACCGGAACCTTTCTTCTCCAGCACCATGGCGGCTGCGTTGTCTCTCACTTCCGGTCTACGGAAGCCGCAGTGCGACCACATCAGACGAAGCGCGAAATAAAACAAAATGGCATAAAATGATTTTTATTTAAACTCAATCTAATATTAATAAATAACTAAACATGAACGAGACTTTAAAGAAGATAACAGATGGTTTTACCACTTTACTATACTTTAATTAGCATTTACATTAAAACAATTGAGAAAAGTTTGAAGGAGCTCTTGTATCAATGACTTTAAAACTCCACTTTCCATTAGAAAACTAATCAAAAGTTTAAATGTGAGAGTGATACTGAGGTTGATAATCAATAAACGTATTAAAACAACAATCAGGAGCCCAAACATACCATAGAAAAAGAACTGCACTTGTGGTGAAATCATTTATTAAATCATAAATTCATTTGCTCAGTCAAATAATTTAACGCAGTTCATACAAAGCCAGAGACGCTCTAGTCGTCAGGGAGATCGACTTGTAGAAACCTCGAGACGGAAAAATACTTGACTAGGAGATGGAAACACGACCTCAGTGAAACCAAAGAAATATGAAAAGGCCTTTAGTGTTTCCCCAGTAACAGTTTCACCCCTAAAAAATACATTTACAACCCTCACAAACTATATTCATTCATTCTGCAGAGATCTCTCGCATCAGCGTTTAGATCGGTGCCGGTTGCCACGGTGACCGAGCATCCCCCAAGCGGCCGGCCTGGCACAAGTCACAGACGGCGTCATGCTGCGTGCATAGTTTCAAGTAGCTTGATAAGGCAGCGGTGACACAACACACGCTTATTCTTAAAGGCCGCATTTGCTTGTGTGAAGTTAAAACATGAAGACCAAATAAAGTAACTTTTAATAAGAAATGTCATGTGACGCTGCATTCAGGGTCCTGCGTTAAAAGCCGTCACCCCTTGCTGGAGTTACGGGATGAAATGAAATTCGTCCAATCACAAAAGAGGCAAACATCGGGATACAACAAAGTCAGGTAGGAGAAGGTTAGGACGATGCGTTCACGGACATCACGTCTTCCTCTGTCCTGTCTGTCGCCATGGCGACGATGAGATGCACTGATTTTCTCACAAACACACACAGACAGAAGAGCGGTGTTAAGGGTCTACGAAGGACACCATGATGTACCGGGTCCCCCTGGTAGTCGGCAGGCCCTCGTGGTAGTGCGTCAGGCGGCCGGGGTGCATGAAGGACCAGCCCTTCCTGGGAGACTCCACCTGACAGTCGTAGCGCAGGAAACGGCAGCCTCCACCCTGACGCACAGTCACAGACACTTCAACGGGTGGAACCATTAACCGGTGGACGTTCCCACGTAGTCGTACGTGCATTTACCTCGTAGTCGGAGCCTTTGCTGTTCAGCGCCACGTTGATGGTGAACGTGGACGAGTCGTGATGCGGCCGCAGAGACGGCTGCTCATCAGGACGGTAACGCACCACGAAGTTCATGATGGCCTGAGCCTGCAAACACAACCTCAGCGTGGTACCTGAAGTGCACCTCAGCGTGGTACCTGAAGTGTACTTTAGTGTAGTATCTGAAGTGTACCTTGGGGAAGTAGCCCGGGTAGAGCTTTTCAGTGACGGGGGCGATGTACTCCTTGAGGAACTTCAACCACTCCTTCTCAAACTCAATCTGGGTCATGTGGATATCCACCGTTGGGACGTTTTCGTAGCCACCAGCCAGACGCTCATCCTAAACAAGTAGACAGGACAGACCATAGTACTTTGACACAGAACCATAGTACTTTGTTACCTCACTTCACCTGCGTGTTTCATAAACAGAGAGATCACCTTGTGTGATCCTCCTGACCACTGGCCATTGTGTTCCATGGTCTCCACCAGATGATCACACATCTTCTCTGAGAAGGCTGGAAACCAGTAAACATCTGGACAAGGCTGAGAGAGAAGTTCAGATCTTTATTTAACTACAGATGCTTTAAAGATTGGTGAAACATATCAACTCAGGTCAATTGACTTTTATTCATTTGGTTTTGTCACCTGCTCCACAAAGTTGTTCTCATCCTCAAAGATCTTGGAGTAGTTTTCACTGATGTACTTCTCCTTCCAGTCCTGCAAATACTCAAAACATTCAGCATGTGCTCATTGGGTTCACCAATGCGTTTGTGAGTGTTTGTTGATGTTTTTCTGACCACAGGGTTGTCAAAGATCTGCCACATGTCCGGGTGAAGACGGGACGTGTTGAAGTTGGTCGATGCCACCAGACGACCAAACTCGTCCCGGTTCGACACAAACATGAAGACTCCCTGAGGACACACGGCCCATTACAGCCACTCAGCATTCTAACCAGTGTAAAGGAGTCTCGAAGGTTTCAGCAGCCGTTACCTGGTCTCTGATGCTCCTGCAGAAGACCATGTCCGGGTCCATTCCCTCCTCCACGTACAGGCTTACCTGAGACAGCTTTGACCGCAGCACGCTGCCTTTGATCAGGTACGCCTGCGTGATGTACGGCACGTTCCACAGACCTCTACAGACAACAGTCACACAGGTAAACACTAGACACAACAACAAAAACACACAGACTACTCCGGTAAACTACGGTGTGCCGGCTCACATCCTCTTGGCCTGGACGATCTCGATGTAGTCTTCAGATCTGGAGTAGAACCCTTCAGGACTCAGAGCGCCCCAGAAGTTACTCCACAGCTTGCCGTGTTTGGACAACATGGGGGCAATAACTGACCTGAGACGGAAACAGAGGATTTATTCTCGTTCAGCCAGCGTCTGGATTGGGACGTCACCAAAGCAGGAGCTCCCTTTTCCACCGGTAAGCACACTAGTGTGTCGGCTCCATGTGAGGCTGCTAGTGTGGACTTGTTGGGGTGTGAGGCACACTAGTGTGTCGGCTCCACGTGAGGCTGCTAGTGTGGACTTGTTGGGGTGTGAGGTACACTAGTGTGTCGGCTCCATGTGAGGCTGCTAGTGTGGACTTGTTGGGGTGTGAGGCACACTAGTGTGTCGGCTCCATGTGAGGCTGCTAGTGTGGACTTGTTGGGGTGTGAGGTACACTAGTGTGTCGGCTCCACGTGAGGCTGCTAGTGTGGGACTTGTTGGGGTGTGAGGTACACTAGTGTGTCGGCTCCACGTGAGGCTGCTAGTGTGGACTTGTTGGGGTGTGAGGCACACTAGTGTGTCGGCTCCACGTGAGGCTGCTAGTGTGGACTCGTTGCGGTGTGAGGTACACTAGTGTGTCGGCTCCACGTGAGGCTGCTAGTGTGGACTTGTCGTGGTGTGAGGTACACTAGTGTGTCGTCTCCACGTGAGGCTGCTAGTGTGGACTTGTTGTGGTGTGAGGTACACTAGTGTGTCGGCTCCCACGTGAGGTGTGCTAGTGTGGACTTGTCGTGTTGTGACGCACACTAGTGTGTCGGCTGCCCGTGGGGCTGCTAGTGTGGACTTGTCGGTGTGGTGACGCACACTAGTGGGTCGGCTACCGAGGAGTGTGATAGTCTCGACATCTCTGGATGTGGAGGTTCACTAGTGTCACCTCTCTCACATATGCTTCTAATGGATACTAGTTGGGCTGAGAGCGTAGAGACACATGTCGGCTTCCTCTGTAGGTTGCTACCGTAGAATTTTTTGG